AGCCCAGGTGGGAGCCTGCCTTCCGGCCCGGACAGCAGCCTGCCTCCAGCCCAACGGACAGCCTGCCTTCCAGCCTACCCGAGAGCCTGCCTCCAGCCCGGTCAGAAGCCTTCCTCCGGCTTAGCGGGAAGCTCACCGTCCAGTCCAGCGGGAGAGAGCTCAAGCGTCCAGCCAACCAGCCAGGCTGACCTGCCAGCCAGGAAGAGTAACGACCAACAATCAATGCGCTATTAATTATGTGTTTAATTCTGTATTAATGTTGTAGTTAATTAGCCATTAGTATCTTTGGCAGTTACCATTTGTAATCGCCTATAAAAGGCAAATTCGATTCAAATAAGAGATATGCTATTTCTGGCAACTAAATCCCTTTGCAACTTTCCATATTCGTACTTTCCTAATTCTTGCTTGAGTGTCGTACGTAACTTCCCAGAGCCTTGCAACATTGAACGCTTCCACATTTGAGGCGGAAATGTGGATGAGCCTGCCCGTCAACAGACGCCAGCGGATGTGGAGGTGTCCTCCAGGCGGCGTGATGAGCGACGCTCTGGATCCAACCAAAACAGGGGGGAAGAAGTCTCCCATCGGCGGGGGGAAGAAGTCTCCCAGCAGCCTAGCCGACCCCATCGGCAGACGGGGAGGGGCGCCCAGCAGGGGCGCCCAACGCAGATGGAAGGAGGCGAGCCCTCTCGCCACTCTCACCGGACGAGCAGTCGGACTGGCTCCACGGAGAGGCAAAACGTGGGGCCCCGACCTCACGTGCACGGACGACTTGGAGGTGCCGCCGGACATGCCCAGCCCCGCGTTGGAGCTGTCCGGGGGAACCCACCGCCGGCCGAGGTGGAAGATCTACGACAACGCCTTGACGAGTTGAGAAGGAGGGTCGTCGGGGGGGGAGCCTTACACGACCGACCTCCGAATACCCGAACCCTTCACCCGGGCGGTCATGGATGCGCCGTTGCCGAGGGGCTACAAGCCCTGCGCCATTGAAGCATACAAGGGCGCTTCTGACCCTCAGCATCATGTATCTCGGTACCTTTCCTACATGGTCATGATGGGGTACGAGGACGCCATCCGATGCCGCGGTTTCTCTGCCACTTTGGATGGCCTGGCTCGTGAATGGTATGACTCTCTACCCGACGGGAGTATCACGAATTTCCGTGAGTTGGCTCAGCGCTTTCTCTTGAGGTTCGCGAGCTCCCGAGACGTCAAGAAAAACTTCAGCCACCTGTTCGGCCTAAAACAGGGGAAGAAGGAATCATTGTCGACCTTCCTAGCGAGGTGGAGGGCCGAGTCAGTCAAGGTTCAGGGCCTTGATGACAGGACCGGGGTGGCCATGCTCACAAACTCTATCCGATCGGGCGAGCTTTACAAAGATTTCGTCAGAAGTCCCCCCACCTCGTACGAGGAGGCGCTCGGCCGTGCCGACCGGCAAGCCGAGGCGGAGGACGCCTTGCAGAGGAAAAGAGATGAGGAAGAAGGTGCAAAAGAAGAAAAGAAGAAGGAAGCCGGTTCGGTGCTGAGAAAGCTGACGGCAAAGCTAGCAACAAAAACAACAAGTACAGATGTAACAAAAGTAGAGGCAAGGGCAAGGCGGACGTCCCGAGCGGACCGCTACAGCCCGTCAAGCAATTGACTCCACTTGCTCAGCCGGTCGGGGCCATCCTCGACTACGCGGAGGATCAAGGTTTAGTCGACTTTCCGGAGGAGTGTGATGTGGTGACTGCCAAGCGCAACCACGACTAATATTGTCGATTCCATCGGAGAGCAGGGCATGATACAGATGATTGCGTCATTCTCCGGCGGCAAATTGAAGAACTCATCCAGAAATGGTACCTGGGCCAATTCGTTGGAAAACAAGGAGGCATCCCGCAAAAGAGGAGCCTGACGTGGCAGCGGTCCGACCAAACTACCACGTCAAAGGAGAAACCGCCTGCCAAGAAGCGGGAGCTCGGCGCCTTCTCCGGGGAAGACGATGCCGACCTAGGGAGCGGCCCCCGGAAGTACCATCGATGTTCGTTCATATTCGGGGGACCCCAGGGAGGCGACACCTCTGGAGAGCGGAAGCAGTGGGCTCGAGAAGTGGCAGATAGGCAACAGGAGAGCAATGAACAATGGTGGACTCTAGCGACTGATGGGTCGGCAGGAGCCAAGGGATGCGGGGGCGGAATCGTCCTCATCTCACCCGAGGGATTCCGAGCCTACTATGCCTACCGCTATCTTTTCAAAGTCTCCAACAATGAGGTGGAGTACGAGGCCTTACTATCTGGGCTACGATTGGCGGCCGCCATGGGAGCAGAGCGGATAACGGTGAAATGTGACTCCCGTCTGGTGGTTTCACAGGTCAAAGGTGAGTTCGAAGCGAAGGAAGAAAGAATGATGAAGTATCGAGATGTTGTTCGGGAGTTTCTCGGGTTGTTCAAGCAAGCAGAGTTGATCTGCATCCCGAGAAATCAAAACTCCGACGCAGACCTCCTCTCAAAGCTATCCCAAGGGTTACCTGAACATATATCGAGAATTGCACGCATTGAGGAGATGATGACCTCAAGCATATCAACCTCACCGTCCATTGACGTCCTTCCCCTGCAACCAGTCGCCTGGTGTTGGGTGGATGACCTCCTGCGCTACATAGCCGACGGGACGCTCCCCAAGAAAGAAGAGGAGGCAAGGTTAGTCCGGCGACGAGCTCCGGGCTACGTCGTCTTGGATGGGAAGTTGTACAAGAGGTCCTACAATGGGACCTTGCTAAAGTGTTTACGCCCACATGAGGCGGAAATGATCGTCTCTGAACTCCATGGGGCGTATGCTCCGCCCATCAGGGGGCAGGCACGTTAGCTAGGAAGGTCGTCCTCCAGGGGTACTTTTGGCCAACAATAATGAAGGATTGCGCTGACTATGCAAGGAGATGCAAGACATGCCAGAAGTTCCAGAAGAGCCCCGGCCGACCAGCAACGATGTACACACCGATCAGCACCGCCCTTCCATTCACAAGATGGGGTGTCGACCTGGTCGGTCCCTTACCAACCGGGTCGGGAAACCGGAAGTTTGTCATCGTCGTGGTGGACTACTTTACGAAGTGGGTTGAGGTCGAGCCGTTTGCCAACATCACACATCTCCAATGTAAGAAGTTCATATGGAAGAATATTTTCTGCCGGTTTGGGGTTCCCCTCCAAATAATCTCCGACAACGGAAGGCAGTTTGACTGCGAAGCCTTCCGGCAATTCTGTGCAGAGTGGGGAGTAGAATCCAGCCGAGTTGCGGTCTGCTACCCCCAGGCAAATGGACAGGTGGAGAACACCAACCGGACGATCGTCGATGGACTGCAAAAGAAGTTGGAGGCCCTCGGGACTGCCTGGGTGGAGGAGTTGAACAATATACTCTGGACCTTCAGAACAACCCCAAGGAAGGCAACAGGAGAGACCCCCTTTGCCTTGTGTTATGGCTTTGAGGCGAGGGCACCGTTCGAGGCCGTGGTTCCCAACCGGCGAGTAGAAGAGTTTGAACCAGCCAGCAATGAGGAGAGGCTCCGAGCCGAGCTCCACCTCATCGAGGAAAGAAGAGACTGTGCCTTCATCAAAGTGGAAAACTATCGACGACAAGTCAAGGCGTACCAAGATAGCCGAGCCCGACCCCGGAGTTTTGACGTCGGTGATTATGTCCTAAGACGTAGGAAGGCCAGCAGGCCGATAGAGGGAGGTAAGCTCTCCGTCAAGTGGGAAGGCCCTTACGTGGTTGACGCAGTGATCGGCCCTGGGACATACAAGTTGAAGACAACAACAGGCCGGTTGGTAGACCGCGTCTGGAATGCCGAGCACCTGATGATGTTTTACCAGTAGAAAATCGAAGTTTCACTTTTCTTTGTAAACTCCTGTGCTCCGAGCACGGGATTACAATTTGTAATTCTTCATGTGGTCCGCCCACATCATGAATTCAATATACTTTGCTAGCGATATTTTGTCATCAAAAGAGGTCCGACCTCACTTAGCAATAAAGGGCGGCGGCAAAAAAAAAAGGTACTATGCCCCCCCTCGGTGTTTGGCCGACCTCGGCCAGGCTCTTTAACCGAAAATAGCCTCAACCCATCGGACAATGTGCAACAGACGGTGAGCTGCGGATTTAGTCAAGCAGGAATTAGGAAAGTACGAAAATGTGGTCGTAGAATTCTATATGTGGTCGTAGAATTCTATATATCCCAAAATGTTGGTCCAAAATAGGACGCTCGTAGGCTTTTAGGAAAGCTACGTACGGCACTCAAGCAGGAATTAGGAAAATACGAATATGGAAAGTTAGCTAGAAAAAGCATATCTGTATTTGAAATTCGAATTGCCTTTTATAGGCGATTACAAATGGTAACTGCCGAACATAATAATGACTAAATTAATTACAACATTAATACGGAATTAAACACATAATTAAGTAGCGCATTGATTGTTGGCCGTTACTCTTCCTGGCTGGCAGGTCAGCCTGGCTGGCAGGCTGGACGCTTGAGCTCCCTCCTGCTGGACTGGACGGTGGGCTTCCCGCTAGGCTGGAGGAAGGCTTCTGACCGGACTGGAGGCAGGCTCCCGGGTAGGCTGGAAGACAGGCTCCCGGGTAGGCTGGAAGGCAGGCTCCCGTTGGGTTGGAGGCAGGCTCCCACCTGGGCTGGACCGCAGGCTCCCAGCTGGGCTGGACCGCAGGCTCCCAGCTGGGCTGGACCGCAGGCTCCCAGCTGGGCTGGTGGTCGGCAGGCTCCTGGCTAGGCTGGACGGCAGGCCGCCCTGGGCTTTCACTCTTTGATGGGCCTGATCGGTTGGGTCGGAATGAGCTCTGGATCACTGGGCTTGGGCCTGCTGGTCCAAGTCCGGGGCCTGGGCCGATTAGGCTCCGGACCTAGTCCCATAACCCCATCAACATTCATTTCACCTTTTTTTTACACAACTACAATAATACATTTCCACTTTATTTCATTTCTTAATATGCGTGTTAAGTCAAACTGGGAAGAATTTTCTAGAAGAAAGAAGTACCAGGTACTACATATTAACGACCAAAACTATAATACGGAGTACTAATTACAACATCCTCAAAATCAAAAACCAAATTTTGACAACTGTAACACTGGAGACTGGACTGCGGTACCTTCTCTCCCCCGGCCATTTTTCAAGTAAATTTTGGTTAGAGCACCTTTCATCTAACATGGCTGAATTCTGTGAAGAATGAAGTCTTGACAGTTCCCTTCAAATTTCAATTCGAACAAGCGCTCAGCTATTGCAGCTTTCTTCTAAATACAGAAAGCTTCAGCTGAAAGCCATTATGGCGCTTTACCAGGATTACCTGAAAACAGCAGTTCCTTCTCAGCTCCTCGCCGAGCGCGGCTCCAATCTCGTCGTAATCAACCCAGGTCTTCGAAACCCTAAGCTTTCGCATAGCCCGAAATTTGACTGCCTTTTCATGTTTTTAGTTTTTATATAGTTTTGTATAGACCTGCAACGCATTCACTGTAGCTCATCATGTTGACAATGTGAATTTGTGATTGCAATACTTAGGTTCTGCAAATATTAAAATAGGACGGGCTCAGCAGGATAATCCACTTGACATCCCACATTGCATTGCTAGGCGAACCAGCCAAGTTCCAAAAAGAAATGTCCAAGATCAAGTACGTCTATTCCCAGAACGCAACGCATAAGACATCAAATTTTCTTTTTGTAAAAATAAAAGAGGAAAGTTGCGTGACTACCCCATTTGTGTGACTTTCTGTTTGGTTCTTGGATTTTAGATGCTAAATTCTCAGATCACAACTGCACAGCATATGGAGCGGGAGAGAGCTTATGACATTGTTAGTGTCTTTGTGACAGTGTTCATGCTTTGATTATATTGTTAACACTGCTATCTTAACTAAGATCGTCAACTTATTTTTAGTTTACTTTCACATACTTTTCATTTTCAGATTGCATCTCTGCTGAAAATTCCGCTCCTGGATGAAGAGGCGGCTAATAGTTCTTTTCCCCGGAAGGTGCAAATTAATCACAAAAAGAATTACTTTTACACTTACCCTTTAACCCCTAGGATGATATTAGGGTTCTACTAGGAGATCATGGATCCACCAAATCCACTTTGGTCCGCTGACATTTCCCCCTATAATCCCCTTGTCTGGCTTGTCATGCAGATGGGTCGTGTTGATGTATATCCTCCACAAAATAACAAGGAGACACCATTCACTTGGACTGACGTGTTTGAGAACATCACTCTACCTCCTGCAGGAGGTGAGAGAACTCCTTATATTTTCCCAGCGTGCTGCCTGAAGTTTCTTAATTGGCTGGAGACATTCATACACTCGACTTCTATTTCTAAATTTGCACATTGTTTTACTTTTACTAGAGAGGCATTTCTGCATGCTAAGTGTTGTTTTCCAGGAAACTGGAAAGTCATATTTCTGCAACCTGTATGCTTGTTGAAGCTTGTGTATGATTACATTCATGTCACTTCTTTTTAATGGGAGCAATCTTCTCTTGTTTGCTTTATTGTAAATTATTGCATCCTCCTATAAAAAGAGTCCAGTTTGGTGACAGTATTTTATCAAGGTACAATTGTTAAAACTCATGAAGTCAAACTTTATTGTTATTTAAATGTGGTTATCATATATAACTTGATTGCGATCTTTTAGGCGAATTACATTAAAAATTAGCTTAGTTTGATGAATTAAGTCTCTTTAGGAAGGAGAGAAACAATACCAACCCCACAATTCCTTTATTAAAAGGAATTGGGATTTCTTTTAGACTACCCAAAAAGGGAAACAGGAAGAAAATTATGGGAAGAAATGAGCAGAAAACTTGTGGGGCATATACGGTAACCAAGTGGCATCATGTTACTATGTTAGAGGATGAGTCAAGTTCATCACATTTAGATACTACTTATATTTATTTTAAAGAACTGTACTAGGACACACAAACTATACACATGTGATGTGCTAGTATGTCTCCCATAATTCAATTAGGCTTTGATATGTATGCTATTTTGTGCATTTGATGAGGTGCAATGGTTCATCTTCACAGGAAATGATAATATAACTGATGTTGAAACTAGTGAGCCCATCACAAATGAAGGCAACAATACTGTTGAACTAAGTTCAGGTGAACGCAAGTATAAAGAGTACATATGTGGTGAAGATGCTTTGAGAATATCTCTAAATGAACCATATCGCTTGTGCCGCCCAATTCGCCGAGGTCACCTTAATATTTCTCAACATTACTCTATGCAGCAGGTACTATTTCCCAAGACCTATTGTAGCAAACTAGCAATATGATATTTAAAGGGTTTGAATTTGTATATTCAAGATATTTTGCGTGACTTGAAGACCCACATTTTTGTAATTCTCATACTTTTACATTTCATAGGCTCTAGAGGACCTTCATACTATCTGGGATTGGATTTTGATTGAGAAACTGAATATCCCTCATGATCAAAGACATACGTATTCTGCTATTCTTGTTGTTCCAGAAACATTTGATAATCGAGGTAACTATGATACAAAAATATTGTTTAGTTGAATAATTGATACATTCTTCTTGATTTTTTTCAAAAGCTAAGAATAGTTAAACAAGTATCTGCTTCTCTTATTTCTCTTTTGAGGTATGAGTATGACAACATAATTAAGTAACGGCCAATAGTTTTTTGATATTTTAGATTGTTATCTTTTTCCATACTGTGAGAATATTAGACCATGATGATTGATCCACCTTTTTCAGTCTTCGCGCGTGTCTCTACCCGCAAAATGGCTCCTGTAATTTCTCATACCTTTAATACTTGTTGGCATGATGACAAGAGGCGGTGATTCTTGCAACTTAACACAATAATGGAGTTCTAAAAATATACTCCCTCCGTCCCACTTTAAGGTTCTCACGCGGCTTACGATGTTTGACTGACCATAAAGTTAACTGATCCCTGTCATTAATAGAATTATTTTTAGTAAATAAAATTTAAATATTCAGAAATTACATTAAAACTGCTACAAAACCTGCAAAAAATAATTTAAATTTCATAAACTTTTGTTATATAAAGTAAAAGATTAAGAACAATGCACGTTGACCGGAGAATAGTGGACTGGAACCTTTAAATGGGACGGAGTATGTGTGTAAGTCACAGTGATGATATGGTTTTCCCAAGTCTGAGTGCAAAGAAAAATTAAGAAAACATTAATTTATTTGTCATGCGAATATGGATGTCTCTTTGGACAACGTTTTTATATTTTCCATTTATAAAAATGGGCATATGAATTCTTTACCCTTTTAAACACATATAGTGTCAAATACTACTCCCTCCGTCCCATTTTGCCTGTCGTACTTTCGTTTTTGGATTGTCCCAAAATAAGTGTCATATATACTCCTTTTTGGAAAGAAATATGTGGTCCATGGCATCTCATTTTATTATTCTCAAATATCAAGCACAACTTTCATTTTTTTCAACCAATTTATTAATAATTGTGCCAAACTAAAACAAGACATAAAATGGGACAAAAATAGTACTTTTTTTACATTTTCCTTTTATAAAAGTGGGCATATGAAATGTTTAACCTTTTAAACACATACGATAAGCAAAAACTATTTAGGATTTACTCCATTCGTGTACTTGATTTTGTTTCTACAGAGCTAATAATTGTGCCAAATGGCTTTTAAAACTCTGTGACCCGTGCACATGCTTTTCTTCCACCTCAATTTGTCTTCTGCTCATTGCAGAAATAAAAGAAATGATATCTATTGTTTTGCGGGATTTGCGGTTCAGTTCAATGGTTGTCCACCAGGTGATCTTTATTTCACTTTTACTTCATTTTTTAACATGTTTTTTTGTGGACGAGTGATTTTGTGTGTGTGTGTGTGTGTGGGGGGGGGGGGGGTTCAACTGGTGTGTTACAATTGACCAATCGGATAGCTGTAGAAGGGTATTATAATTTTATATTTCTGACTGCTGCAATCTTTATTTTCATTTCTTGTATCTGTTATTCTGTATGCACCCTTTAGGCTTGAGAAAATAGTGCCAAATCAGTTCTTCACTGAATTCCATCTTCCGCAATCTGCATCTATCATCAGTCATCACATATCTATTTGAAATGTCATGCTCTCTATAATTTTTTGCTGATTCAATATCAGGAAGGTCTTGCTGCTGTATTTGGTAATGGTTTATCAACAGCATGTGTTGTGAATATCGGTGCTCAGGTGACATCTGTTATTTGTGTTGAGGTATGTATATTGTTATATAGCATCATAAGCTCTGTGAAAAACATTCTTTCTCTTATATAAAATAAAAGTTCTGGTAATGGCTAACGGGTAACATTATTTTCAGTTATCTTCAAAGGGAATTATTGGTTTTGCAAAGAAAATAGACTAAAGTTTTATATTCCACCTATTAAAAGCTATCTTAATATTTAAACTTATTTATCTATTATTCCTTTTGTCCATTAGTATTTAGGATTCCATGAAAACGTCATCCAACATATGGGTCTCCTCATTTCAAAACAAGAGTTAAATATCTACTCCCGTTAAATTGAAATGCAAACTTTACCAAAGGAATGTGATTCATCATTCATGTGATAGCTTTCTAGAGAAAAAATGATCAGAAAGGAAAAGTTAACTACAAAAAATGAAGAAAAGGGAAGGATCGAAGAAGGAAGTGATGAAAAGAAGGAAATGAAGAAAGAAATGACAAACCTGGCAGGCACCAATTAATCTTTAGTTTTTCTCTCTTTATCCCGTATCAGTTTTTTCATTTTTTATTTTTCAAGTTTGATGTTGCTAGCTAAATTAGGAGAAAATGGGTTAGCTTGCCGAGTCAAAATGGATTTGACAACAAACCACTTTTGGGCGAGTGGGTGTTGCTATGAATGTATGCGCAAATGCGCAATGCCATTCAACGCATGGTGTTCTTCAGACAAGGCGACCAGCCATGGTGAGCATTCTCCACCACCTGGTCGCCTAAGCGCCGCCAAGATGAAGCCATGACAACCACGGTTAGAAGCCAGAAGGCTGGTAATGCTAACACCTGAGTAGAGACAGAGATCAGTACTTTAGAAGATATATACATTTTGGTTCCACCACTGCTTAGAATATAAGCCCTCTGCTATTTTCTGCTGTACCGGATTTAGACCGCACCATTATAGTGCTATTGCAATCATTGAACTCCATTTCAACTTTTTCCTTGTGTCACTTTTAGAGTTATCTTTAGTGCCCGTTTCTTGGAAGTTAGCAATTTTGATAGACTCCTAAATCTGGCTGTAAATTGATGTATACGGAGAAATTGTATAAACTGAGATGGAAAGTACAGGTGAGACTCTTTAAGAGGTCTCTCTCCCAGCCAAATTCCCACTGAAATTATGCCTAACTCCCTTATCCCCTCTCCCCGCTCTTATTATACTCCTCTCCTTAAGGGCCGGTCCTCACAGCTACTTAATTACCTCGCCTAGAACCCTCTTTTTTGTACAATATCAAATACTTATTGTTATTCTTATTACTAGTACTGTCTAGGGTCCCTATCATCATTCCCCCCTTTGACAACCACATTGTCCTCAAGGTGGGTAGTCAGAAACAGCCCTGTCAATCAGCTTCATCCTTGTGCCTCTCCCTTCTCTGTACTTACTCCCTGATTGCTGGACCATGAGCTTCATTACTTGACCCTTCATCTTTACTTCGCATTTGGATTTCCACTCCATCCCAGTAATTCCTGCATCTCACTGTGATAATCACTTTGGAGGATTATTCTGATAACAGGATCAAAAGATACTTCACAATTGTCAATTGGTGCATCCTTCAACAACATTGTCAGAAGATCTAGTGAACCAACTACTAACCTTCAGACTGCTGTTGTGGTTTAGTCAGCACTTGCCCAATATAAGGTAACATTCAGAAACCAAAGGCTGGATGCAACCATGAGCTGTTTTGATTGCCTCTAAAACTTCTAGAGCATCAATACTGGCAAAAGGGTCTCTGACATGCGAAGCTCACACATTGAGAATGCAACGAGAAAAAATGGACTCCACTGATGGCAATAGTTCCGGACCTGCCCTTAGTGCAGCCTGTAGTGTCTCAAGCACCAGATGCATAGTTTCATCAAGATGTATGCTCAAGTAGGGTGGTGATTGATGAAATGAAGTCCTTGATATGTGGCCAAATGACTCCCGAGTCTGCACCAGTTAAAACTTAAAAGCTGTGAAAGTGCTTGACAAGCATCTGTCATAACTTCTGCATCATTCATATGGATTAGTTGCCGAACAACTGGCAATGCAGTTTTGACCAGATCAAATGGCGTTGGGTGTCTTGCCTTGACATAAGTTTGACAGTCCTTGTAGCATTTCTCAACATAGAAATCTTTGAATGCTCATTTAACTGACCTAGCAAGTAGCAATTGTAAGAGTGCAGTATGACCAAGAACAAGATCTCTACAGGTTGGGGCATCACCAGCAACATTGCCCAAAGCCCAGACAGCCTGCTCACGAACATCATCATAGGGTGAATTAAGAAGCTGTATAAACTTACGAACAGCCTGTTCCATGAGAACCCTTGTATGTTCGGATGTCCCAGATGCGACATTTGTCAGTGCCCAAGCAGCTTCAGATTGCCATTGGGGTAAGTCACTCTGTTCAAGGAAATATACAAAATGGGGGATAACTCCTGCTTTAATCACCTCATCAATTGAAAGGCTATGCTCAATCGTCAGAAGCTTTCAGAATTGTGTAGTTGCTTCAGTCTCTTGAGAAGCAGTGTTTTGAGTACATCCACACTCAGTCATTCACCAGTAGCAGAATTTGTGTTCATGCCATGAACACCAGCATTCTCCTCAACTTGAATCTGCCAATCAGGGAACACTGAGATAAAGAAAACTTCAACTCCGTTTGCCACTTCACCTGTTGAGCTATGATTGACAGTAACTCCAAACAGCCTCATATTTTGCATTCCGGCAACCTCGGTGTTTGGCTGTTGCCCAATCTCAACATTGTGGGGAAGATTTTGATCAGATCCTGGTGAGGCATTCAAATTAATACCATTTTCAGAAGTGACTTGCTGAACTCTATTCAAAACTGAGTTGAAGAATTCCATAGAATCTTGAGATGCATAAAAAACTGCGAGTCCAAGAGAAGCATGAACTGCAGCAACCACAGTCCTAATAGGAAGTTCCCAAACCTCCACACCCCTCGTGGTAGAGTTTCTAGTACCTTCAGTGCCTTGTTGATTGGAACCTTCACCATTAGGAGCTCCAGGAGCAGCTTGCCCCAGATTCAGCGAAACAGTTGCAAGTGAGAATGCACCAATTCCTGTCCCTACTTGAAAAGGTTGTGACTGAACCATTATGGGATTGGGCCCAGTTGGAGATACAAAAACAGCGGGTGGAGCATTCATCACAGCAATATCTGATTTCCACGCAAATGATTGAATCTCCTTCTCTCTGTTGTATCTGTGACGTTTACCTGATCCCCCAGTTCCCTTGACAGTTGCTCTTCCACTTCACCGGAACGAATTCCATTTTCATCCACGTCAGGCAGTTTTGGATCTTCGGGATGATCTGACAGATATCTCGTAGGTTGAGTCGTACATCATCCGGATCCGGTTCTGTGATTGATGATTCAGCCGTCTTCAACTCCGAGTTCATTGTAGGCGGTCCGCGGTAGAGTCCCTAGTGATCCATTTCCTGATTCAACAAAGTCTATGGTTCTGGAAGCGAATGGAACTTGCACACTGCGAGAAGCTGTTCGTGATGGAACCTGTGAACTCGGAAAATCTGCTCGCGGTGAAGCTTGCGAACTGGGTGAAGCTGATTGCAACGAGCCCTGTTTTTCATATTTCCGATGACGTCTAGGGTTCCTCGATTGACGTCTAGGCCGCCGGCGACGTGGTTGAAGCAACAAGTTGTGCATCTCATCCAGCTTCTCATCCAACATAGCTCTCATCTCCCCCAGGTGGCATTCAATATTGTCCATGCTTTTCTCCATTGGCAAGCGTAGACTTCCTTCATCGCTCTGACGATCGAGTGTTTTGATACCAATGATACATACTCCTAAATCTGGCGGTCAATTGATGTATATTATGGAGAAACTGTAGAAACTGAAAAGGAGATGAGACTCTTCGAGAGAGATCTCTCTCCCAGCCAAATTCCCACTGAAATTCTGCCTAACTCCCTTTTCCCTTCTCCCCGCTCTTATTATACTCCTCACCTTAAGGGACGACCCTCAGCTACTTAGTTACCGGGCCTAGAACCCTCTTTTTTGTAGAGTATCAAATCATCATCATCATTACCCCAGTGCCGCAAAGGCTCCCACCTACGAGGGGTAAAGGGGGTCGGATGTAAGCAGTCTTACCCCTATCGAATATCAATGGTTAGCGCATAAGGAATCAGTCCAGCAGTTCGCACATCACCCCGGACTTCGCTCATCTGCTCCGGCAGTTGGCGCATCATCATCATCAGTTTTTTTTGTAGAATATCAAATACTTGATATTATTCTTATGACTAGTACTGTCTAGGTCCCCATCAAATCTGCTGCTTAGGTATCCTTTAAACTTGTTAGAACCAAATGTGGAGTAAATTGCAATGTTTTTTCATTCAAAAATATCTTTCGTCCCATGCATCCTTGTCTTTTTTGATGTCCAGGATGGAGTAGCTTTACCTACGACACAGATCAATCTACGTTATGGTGGAGAGGTAAGAGTGCTGTGCTTTAATTTTTTGTATTTACCAAATGCTTTGTTAAATGATCAGGGACTGCATTGTTTCCCCACATTCTTGTACATGATTATCATGGCATTACTTAATAATTCTCTCCAAGATAAAGTTATTGGATTTTTAGTGGTATGATTACATATTGTTGTATTATTTAGACGAAGTAACCTTGTAAGTTTTGTATATTGTTGCAGGATATATCAAGATGCCTTCTATGGACTCAGAGGCATCATCAAACGTGGCCACCAATTAGAACTGATGCTGTTTCTAAGCCTTTAGATTTGCTAATGCTGAATAGACTCAGAGAGTCTTATTGTCTGATCAGAGTGAGTAGCCTATATCTTCTATTTAAGTTCCAACTCATATATGCCAGCCACAAGTACCTGATATATCTCTCCCTACCTAGATATTTATGTAAGCCTATTTTTTTCTCATTATAGCATGTACATTATTCCACGACCAAAATGTAAAGCAAATATGCAATGCCTTTTTTTTTTTAACTTTCTAAAGATCTAAAGTTCTATTCTTTAAGATTATATAAATACATTTAGGATTTTAAAAGATCAAACATTTTACTTGTCTTTTTCCATCATTCCAATGGAGCCAAAGACTTATTGCGCTTCTTTGTGAATATGATGGAATAAAGCATTGTGGCTCACTAAACTGGTTGCACTTCTTTGTTATGAAGCAACAGTCAGTCCATACAATTTTTGATGTGATTTTCACTATGGGTCACCGAAAACAGTTTCTTTGTGCTTTAGTACAAGGGTAAGACTGCGTACATCCAACCACCCCTTACTCCAACGTAGGTGGGAGCCTTTGCGGCACTGGAGTAATGTTGTTGTTGTTGTTTGTTGTAAACATTCTACTTTTCTACTATTCTATATTCGTCTAAAAAAGAGCCCGTTTCATTCTTTTGTCCCACAAAAGAGCTTTGTTTGATCAAGTGAAACTAGTTTTCGATGTAAGTTGCCAAAAACAAGTCAAGACAAGTTAATATGATTAATTTAGTTACCAACAAGTAAATTGTAAAACATTCGAGTACCATTCTTGATCTATGATAGTTGTACTCATTAAAATTTAAAAAGTTGTACTTTCATTAAACACGACTCTTCTTTCTTGAGATGGAGTTAGTAAGATTCCTTACATACTAAGTACAAACTGATATTTATGCTACATTTATTAAGATGATAACTATCTATCTACTCTTCATCCTCCTTAATTTGTTTATGGTTATTTTTAGGAGGTATATCTTTACTTTACTCTTCATTTCTTTAATTTATTTATGCTTATATTTAGGAGGGGGAAGTTGAAGTAGTTGCTCAGGTTCATTCATATGAAGATGGAATGGTACCTGCATCTCATAAGACAAGGCTAACCGCTCTTAATGTAGGTCATTATGGAATTCATGTCATATCTCCTTTGCTTTGAGTTAAGTACAAAAGTGGCGATCAAACTTTCATAAAATTTTGCTTTTGAGGACCCATCTGTTTTTGTTTTGTTTTGTTTTGAGAATTCACCCCCTTCTGTGACATTCTTCAAATAAAAGAAATTCTAAATACAAACAGAAACAACACATACATATAAAATTAAAACAAACAGCGGAACAATTTAACAAGTTGACGTAAACATAATTTATAATCTTAGATACTGGTCTTGATCACTAAGATTGTACATTAATACCAACCATATTCCATTGTGGACCCATTAATCGATTCATCTTTCGAAATAGTTAGGTAAGAATTTTAATTTATCTTAAATTTTTGCACACATTGACTTTATGTGCAATACAATTACTAAATAAATTTTACAAATATGTAAAAAACATAACCTGGAACTCAATAAGAAATACTACCTCCACCCTCCTAACATTGGTACATGAGGAGGTGGTGCGGTTACCAATAAAAGTAAATTTATGTGGTTGATATTGAATTGATAAAGTGAGAATAAAGTAAGAATGATTTAGAACCACACAAACACTACCAAATTTGATATGGGACAATCTCAGCGGGACGGAGGGAGTAATTAAACCCTTACATTGCTTTCTAAATAAATAACGGAACATAGTTTTAATGAAACTAAGTTACCAACTATTTGAGTATATAACAAAAAGTGATATAGAGCAATGTTCCACTAAAAATTCAGTCCATAACTCATCAAAAACTGATATCAAAATATCAAATAAGGGACCCTATTTCCAAATATCATTTATTTGATGGTTTGATACCACTTTTTGATGTCTTAAATGACTGGATTTCTTGTCGAAAAGTGTCTCCATATTATTTTTGTTATATAATTCAAATGGTTGGTATTATTAGAAATCATTACCAAAGTATGTATTATTATTGGTGTTGTTTAAAGGTATTTTCCCAATAACTAATAAAGCCACACGAGAGTTCAACGACCAAATTTTTCATTGCCTGATATTCAAATGCAAAAAACAGTTTTGTTGTAAGGGAAAATAATTCAAATATACCAAACTTTGAAGGGGTGTGACATAAGTACCCCAAATTTACACATGTAATATATATACCCCAAACTTTATACGGAGTATAAAAAGTTATGTTAGCACCATGTCCATATACTTTTTCATGAAATTATAGATTGTTAATTCCATCCTAACAAGGCTTAAGGTATTTTAAATTATATAATTATTCCAATAATTGTATTTGTAAAAAACATATGATCATGGTACGAAAATAACTTTTATATAAAGTTCGGGGTATATATATTACATATGCAAGTTTGGGGTACACACCTCATACCCCATTAAAGTTTGGGGTATTTAAATTATTCCCCTTTGTTGTATCTTTTCCTTCCAAGGAATTGATTGGCATCCAACTTAGTAAAGTAGCCTATTGCTGAGTAAGTTGTGGGCAGTAGGACAGTCAAGATCCGAGTAACTTTAACCTTGGATTTAATGTATAATATTTAAAATTCAAAAAGTACCTTATGTAAAAAGTATGTGTATATAAGAATGTAAGTTCTATTAGGATCAATTTAACCATTTCCACCCTTCATTAATATACTTTGAATAGTTAAAATATTTCCCCAAGGAATCATGCCCAATATAGAATAGATTTAGATTTAATGAAATAACAAAATTGGATCAATGTTACAATGTAAAAATTGATGAAATGACTGATTAATATAAAATCTTTTAATTAAATTTGATTGATATTTCATATTTACATTATTTGATTGGTTATTTGTTTCTTTCTTATATTTTAAGGTGGCACTTTTCTTTTAAATAAAATTGGGTAATTTTTTATTACTTAAATCTGCATAGCACAAAAAGTATATCTGGGATGAAACTAATAACATGAACTGTATTTTATTTTAACAATTTTAATTTTTAAAACTAGTAAGCCACTGATAATCTAAAACTAGTAAGACTCATAGAGCTAATTAAAGGGTCCTATCTGATAATAATTATGAATTATTATTTATTTATTTCTTAGTTGACTAAAATTTTACAAAAATAATTTTAAAACTTACTCTTGTAATTATTTTTAGAAAAAGGAATTCAACTGAGCGAAATTCTGAAGTTAATTCCATTGCTTAGATAAATATTTCTACAGTAGTTCAATGTTGTATTTAGAATTTCTTTTTCTTGAAAAATGTTAGAAAGGGGAGGAGAGTCCCCAAGACCACAAAAAAAATGGAGTCTCCAAAACTATTTTTTCAAAGGCTTGGAAGTTTGATCCTTACTTTTGTATTCCTTTGCGTCACTATACATGTGTGAATGAATATCTATTCAAGTTCTTCCTGTTTCTAGTATTTGAGATTCTAGCCATATCGCCTAATAATGAAAGTTACCTGACACGTTAGCATTCAACAGGTTGTCAGCCTGGAAAGACTAAATTTGCACAATTTTTTAATGTTTGAGGGGCCAACTGTTCTTTAGTTCTGGGGGTGAATCATAATTTAGTAGAAAGAAGAGCTATTTGCCAGTTTTCCCTCTTGAGTTTATGATAAGCACTTCTGCGCCTGATTTTGTTTTTTCTAAATAGGTACCCCCGATGGGTTTATTTTATCCAACACTTTTAGTTCCGGATGTATATCCTCCCCCACCACGCTCTTGGTAAGAATTCCTCCTATTTTCCTTGGATTTAAAAGAATAAGATTTTTTCGAATGCCTATTATGTCCTCTGTTTTGAGCACCAGATTCTTATTTTTCGAAATAGGTTTAATGACTATGATGATATGCTTGAAGATGCTTGTCATATGGATTTTCCAGGCACCGGTGCATTTCCCATGTGGGAGAGCTATCCTGTGTTTCATATCAAACCAAAGAGGGAAGACAGTATTGGTCTTGCTGAAGCTATTACAAAAAGCATTCTTTTAACAGGTAGATCTGGATTGTGGTGAAAATGTGAAATTTAAGACCTTGTTCAGGACAACTTTAGGTAGTAGTTCTTCAATTATAAGTGTGTTCTCATTTAATATGAAAAAGTACCAATTAAATTAATCACAAAAGTATTTTTTCTGTTTTCCTGCCAAGACATCCTTTTGTAGTACAGTACTTTCTACCTCTAAAAACATTAATTAATTCCTTAAAAATAAGTCATCCATTGCAAAACACACTACTAATTCCTAAACCTCTTTTGAGCTTCACAGGGCGAATAGAACTCCAGAGAAAGTTGTTTTGTAGTATGCAACTGGTGAGTTTTTTGTACTCTTTAATCATTCATCTATAAGGCTATACTGATTACATTTCAGTAAGAAATAATATATCTTTCTGTGCTTCAGATTGGTGGGGTTGCATTGACCGATGGCCTTATTCCTGCGGTTGAGGAAAGGTTTGTTCCAATCTCTGTTTAAAAGTCCCTTCTTTTGTTTGCCTTCTAATTCCAAAGAATGCCCTTATCCTCGGGTGTGGTGAGTGGTGACTGCGTTTGGGTTCTTGATATTACATGCCTTTCGTACACCATGGGTTGTGAACAATCATGAAATTTGAGTGAATTCTATCAATCCATTTGTATATTTATTTAGAGGTCATTTTGTAAGATCCAAAAAGGGATGCATATCCTGAAGTTGTGGTTGAAATGACCCAGTGTGCTGAAAATCCTGAAATATGTATGAGAAAGCTTTAAGTATATTTAAAAAATCTTATAAATAATGTAAACAACAAATGTAGAAACGTTAGTAACACATGAACTATCATTGTCAGTTAAATCAATGCAGTGAAATTAGTTAACGTTTGGACCGTATGGTAACAGTTTTGGCTTGCAGATTTTTTTACCAAACGTCTTTATAATTCTAAATAATAATTCAGTTCTGGCCTCCAAATTGAACTAAGTAAGGCGTACGCTTCACGCGTTTTTTAACAAGAACTCCTACTAACAGTTTAGTTTTGCTGTAATTATATGTTCTGCTTCATTGCAGAGTTTTACACGCAATCCCGTCCCATGAAGCAATTGACACGGTAGAGGTTAGTGGGTTGTTCTTATATTCGTGTTACCTCTGGATCCGCATTTCATGAATGCATCTACATTAGTTACATTTGTATTATTAATAGTATTAGTACTCTGTGTGATTGTGTACAATAGTAATGTTGTTGTTGTTATTGTGATCAGGTATTGCCATCAAGAACACACCCAGCTCTTGTAACGTGGAAAGGCGGAGCAGTAAGTTATACTCCAGAAAATTTTCATTTTCCTGTGTTTCATAATATGGGGGTTGTAAGTAGTGCACATCTTGTTGTTTAAGGTCATTCATCCCAGATTTGGTCCTTGGATTTTATACAAGTCGCTTTGGTCCTCAATTGTGCAATTTTAGATTCAACGTAGTTGATATTTTGATCTGCTAAAGAGGGTATAGTTAGTTTTGTACACCAAGGATTAACCGATTAGATTGCATCCAAATTACATAGGTGAGGGCCATACATAAAGTAAAATTAGATCTAAATGCAGGCAACAGAAAAAATTATCCAAGATTGAGTGAGGGTTCTAGATCAGGCATTAATTTAAAAAAAACCGCCTTCTCATCCCTATTTGTTTAACTTAATTTTGTACATGTATATACATATACTCGTACATCTGTTACAAAATACGTAGTATGTCATCACTTGGTCATCCAGGTTAGTTCAATATTCTGTATATGTTTGGTTGATAATGTTTGGACTATTATTGGTAATGATGTAGATTTTGGGGATTCTAGATTTCACCCGAGACGGGTGGATTCATAGAGAGGACTGGATGAGGAACGGAATTCACATCGGGAGCGGGAGGAAATACAAAGATTCTTGTTATCTGCAGGCTCAGTCATTGGCTTTCATCAACTCTTCTTAGCCACTCCAAACCCACCCGTCATCTCCCGTGAGGAGAAGTAATACTAAAGAAAAACCATTTGCAGATATAATCATATACCCCCAGCCCAAAGCAGATATATGTTCTATTGTTATTTTAGACTTTTAGTAACATTGGAAATTTAACTTTTATTAGCCTAATTTTTATTTCCAATATAATTCATTTGTCTTTTGTTTGTCGTTAGGCATGTTTTTTATTTTATACGAGTAAAACAAATAGAGTTGCGTTTCTACATTGCTTGCTTACTTCTACGCACGCGTTTGGAGCTGCGCTGGAAAGTTGTGACAATAAGTTTAGTAACTGGAATATCTAAATTTGATATTCCCCTAATACACTTACTATGGCAGTACGATTTGTAGATGTCAAAATTTGGAGTATATTGAGTTAAAGTATACAAATGAAAAAGAAAAAATAAAAAAAAGAGGTCAAATCGCCTCCGGTATCATAATACCAGTCCTTTCAACTCAAAAAAAAAGAGCTCAATTTACCCTTTCAACTCAAAAAAACTCCTATTAACACCTTGAATTTGACAAAAACGTTTAAATTTTACTTTTTGTAGGTACTATTTTGGTCAGTGTCACGTCACCCAGTCAGATGTCAACTGTGTATCTAACGTGGCAGATTGGCAGTTAAGGGGTCAAATAAGCCCCCTGAACGGTTGAACTTGACCAAGTTGTTCAATTTACCCTAGGGTTGGATTCGGTTCGGGCCACCCGGCCCGGCCCGGTACTGTGCGGGCCCGGGACCGGCTCGGTCGGGCGGTCCGGGACCGGGTATGGACCCGAACCGTGGGGAAGGGGCGGGGCGGGCTCGGTGCTGGATTATTGTGACCCGGCCCGGCCGGGTCGGGCCCGGGTCCGGGTCTAATTTTATTTTATTTTTTTTGGTTTGAGCTACTAGCCGTTGGGGGTGGGGCTGGGGACAACCCAAACGGCTATATAGCCGTTGGATGGGGTAAAGGGGGGGTCCGGGGGGTAGGCTGGTGGGGGGGGTGGGGGTGGGTGGGGGGTAAAAAAACCTATAAATACTCATAATCTTAAACATTTTTTCATATCTCTTCTCCAATTCTTCCTAAATCCTATTCTTAACTCTCTACTCTCTAATTCTCTTATTCTCCATTCTCCAATATATTATATTTATTATTTATAGTTTATATTAATTATCTACTTATATAAACTATAAATAGTATTATATTACTTATATTTGTTATCTAATTATATATTACTTATATATTTATTATATCTATTAATATAGTTGGAATTATATCTAATTAATTTGAAGTCATTCTATTACTCCCATCCGAAAGACCGAAAGTCCGAAAGAGGTACGAAATTATTCTATTATTTACACTTGTTTAATTACTAGTTAATTTGCTACATTTGACTCTTGTTTAATAGTTAGATAAATAGTTAATTAGTTTTTTACAATTTTTTATTAATTGCTACATTTGACTCTAGTTTAAAAAATATGTTGTACACAAAACTAGTTAATTCACTACTTAATTTGCTATAACTCGAATTAATAATTAGATAAATAATTAATTAGTTTTTTACAATTTTTTATTAATGGCTACATTTGACTCTAGTTTAAAAAATATGTTGTACACAAAACTAGTTAATTCACTACTTAATTTGCTATAACTCGAATTAATAGTTAGATAAATAGTTAATTAGTTTTTTATAATTTTTTATTAATTGCTACATTTGACTCTAGTTTAAAAAATATGTTTTACACAAAACTAGTTAATTCACTACTTAATTTGCTATAACTCGAATTAATAGTTAGATAAATAGTTAATTAGTTTTTTACAATTTTTTATTAATGGCTACATTTGACTCTAGTTTAAAAAATATGTTGTACACAAAACTAGTTAATTCACTACTTAATTTGCTATAACTCGAATTAATAGTTAGATAAATAGTTAATTAGTTTTTTACAATTTTTTATTAGTTGCTACATTTGACTCTAGTTTAAAAAATATGTTGTACACAAAACTAGTTAATTCCTACATTTTTAATGGCTACATTTGACTCTATATTTTTTAATCGCTACATTTTTTAGATGGATCGTCCTAGATATTCGGTTGATATTGGTAACCTCGAGCGCAACCGAACGAAAGAGCTTGCGAGGAAGAGATCCCGCAAAGGTAAATCACATATCGGCTCTTCATCTCAAAGTCAAGATGATTTTGATACGGGTTACGTAAGGAGGGATGGGGATGCGATGACCGACGAACAACTAGAACAAGAATTGCACCGACATAATTCCCGCTTTTTTCAAGACCAACCGAGGACCATTGACGAAGAAGAGCTCGAGGACGACGATGTGGAGGAAGCAATTCCGGAGAGCCACGAGGAGGAGGAGGAGGAGGAGGGTGGCGGCAGCCATGACGCCGACCAAGCAGCCTCATCTCAAACAGGTACAAAAAAAAGTAAATCTGAATTAATGGCTAATAATTTTTCTAAGTGGAAGGACCCGAACACCGGGAATTGGACCGCAACTTGCAATTGGTGCAAGAAAAACTATAGCTTGGGGATTTCCGGCGGATACGGATCCACCACAAGACACCTTAAGTCCAAACACCCGGTAGAGTATGCAAAATTAGGCGGCGGAACGGGGAAGCAAACGCAAATATCGAGGTTTGCAAATAACCAACAAGCTTTTGGTAATTTCTCATACAATGATGCACAAAATTTGACAGGTATGGCTAACTTACTTGTTGAAGAAAATTTGCCTTATTTGTTTTCTGAAAGTCTTGCTTTTCGTGATTATGCACAAACTTGTTTAAATCCGCAATATAGAGGTTATAGTCGCAAAACGGTTAAGAAAGAAATTTCAAGGCTTTATGGTGCGGAAAAGGTAAGGTTACAAAATTATTTTGCAAACTTTGATGGACGTGTTACTGTATGTTCTGACATATGGGAGGATACTTATCATAATTTACATTATTTGGGTCTGACTGTACATTATATTGATAATGATTGGCATATGCATAAACGTGTTCTTGCTTTCCGTGAATTTAATGATCGTCACACCGCTGAACATATTTATATTTTGATTGAACGTATTTTAATTGAGTATAATTTAATTGATAAGGTGTTTGCTATTGGTTTTGATAATGCTACTAATAATACTGCTGCTATTCCTAGATTGCGTGAATTGTGTGGTTCTACTTCTTTGATGGGTAGATTTTTTCATCAACGATGTGCATGTCATGTTCTAAATTTATGTGTGCAAGATGGTCTAAAAGCGCTGGGAGCATCGTTGGAGGTAGTCAAGGGGGGATTAGACGTATTTGGGGTAATGGACAACTTAGGAAAAAATGGAATGATTATTTGATAGAAAGAGGTGAGAGATTTGTGGCTTTTCCAAAAGATTTGTCTATTCGTTGGAATAGTACCTATAAGTTAATTGGAGTTCTTCTTAGATATAAACAACATTTTCCTGCTTTTATGAAACAATATGATAACTATATTATAAACTCGGCTGAGATCGACACCTGTGAAAAAATTTGTAATGCTTTGATATATTTTAATAATGCAACTGAAACTTTTAGTCATGTTTATAAACCTACCTCAAACCAATTTATTCGTGAAGCTGTTAATCTCGCCGGTGCTTTTTCAAATTTTGAGAATGCTGATTATGTGAGTTATTTTGCTGGTTTTATGAAGGAAAAGTTTTTAAAATATTATTCACATATTCCGCATATTTATGGTATTGCATTTGATCTCGATCCTCGTTTTAGACTTGGTTCTTTAGAAGAATGTTTGAATTATTATTATGCTGCTTTTTTTGGTCCATTGCCAATGTATGAGGACAACCCAATTGATCCGAAAAAAGAATACAACGAGGTTAGTGATATATTTTATGCATTATTCAATGAGTTTCATGCACAATATGTCAATGCGCCCCCTCCCCCGACACAAACATCATCTAAAGGAAAATCAATTTTCAAATCTACGTTTGCCAATCTTATTAAAAAAACAAAATCAACTCCCGCTACACAACAAAGCACAATTAATGAGATTTCTTTGTATTTAACTTATGATGTTGATTTTGAAGAAGATGATGATTTTGACGTACTAAACTGGTGGAAGGGAAAAGAAAGAAAGTTCCCGGTTTTAGCAAAGATGTCTAAGCAAGTGCTATCAATGCCAGTTTCAACGGTTGCCGTGGAACAAGAATTTAGTTCGGCCGGCAATGTTCTAACACAAACCAGAACGAGGTTGAACGCTGAATCTCTTGAGATGCTTATATGCTACCACGATTGGTTGAAAGCAGCACGTAGAGCTCAAGAAATTGACATCACTCCATCCCAACACTTTATGGATGAATCTACAACAGAGGGTGGCTCTACCTATGCCGGAGATTCCGATTAAAAACAATTATAGTTCCTATTTAATTTTCAAATGTAGTTCCTATTTCATTTGAAATAAATGCACTTGAAGTTTGTTTTTTAATACTTGTATAAAACTATAAAGTATAAAATATAAATTAAAAAAAAATATTTAACCGGCCCGGCCCGGCCTGGCCCGACCCGTGACCCGGGCGGGTGGCCCGGCCTGAACCGGACCCGTCCAACCCTCGGGCCGGTCCCGAGCCCATGTGATACGAACCGGCGGCCCGGCCCGGGCCCGACCCGGCCCGAATCCATCCCTAATTTACCCCCTCAATTGTAAAAAAGTGTCAAATTACAAAAAACTAAAAAATTAAAAAATAGAAAATACAAATATAAAATCAAATACAAGTTGATAGTGTAAAATAGACATCTATTTAATAATATAATAAGACCTTTAAAAGTCGCAAAAATCGGAATAAAATTGGATAAAAATTTGATACATAAAGTAAGAGATTAAGAGTGATTTGTGTTGATTAAGTGAATAGGAACTTTGACAATAATAGAGGGACGAGGGAGTAACTAATTCGATATTATATTATTCATATAATATAATTTTTTTATGGTGTATATAATTAATATGAAATATAGTAAAGAATTGGAAAATGAAATAATATGAAGTATAACATATATGCATGTGTGTGTAATTTTACATATAAATCTATATCAAATTGAATATACAAGATTAAAGAATATTAATATGCATATATAATTAATATTTTACATATTAAAGAATGTGAAACGAAAAAAATACAAGCCTAAAATATAGACAATTAGACATAATATAAATTGTAAAATGCAAAACCTAAAAATGTTTTATACTACAAAAAATTGCATATCATACATGAAATACAAATTTAAAATTAATTAGTAAAATCGTAGTGTTTATTTCTAAAAGAAACAGTTATAAATATGGAAATAAATTTATTTTAGTTTACTTTGTTGAATTTACCTCAAAAAATAAATATTTCCTTATTATAATATTTAAAAATGTAAATATTTTGTACTTAGGACTTGTATTTTATTTTCTATTTTTTATTTTTATTTTTATTTTTGTAATTTTGACACTTTTTAACGGCTGATGAGTTAAATTGAACAACTCATTCGAGTTTAGGGGCCTATTTGACCTCTTAAATTGCCAAATGGGATGCATGATTGACATCTGACCAGGTGATGTAGGGGTGGACCGGTTCCGGTTCGGGCCCAGCCGGGCCTCGGTTCAGGAAGGGGAGGCCCGGAACCGGCCCGGGTAAACCCCGGGTCCGGGTCGGGCCTCGGTTCTATTTTTTTTTTTTTTGGGTTTTCCTAGTTAACCCCCAACTCTCCCCCTCACCCCCAAACCAACCCTAACCACCTCAAATGGCCCAAAATACCCAGCCCAACCCAAAAACTTAAAAAAATTTCAAAAAAAAAAATTGGCCGGGCCCGAATTGGCCGGACCGGTACACCTTTTGAAGGGTCCGAGCCCGAACCGCCATCCCACCAGGCCGGGTGGCCCGAACCGGGCAACCAACCGGTACACCAGGCCGGTCCGGGCCCGCACAGTAGCGGGCCGGTCCGGTTGTCCCTACCCGAATCCACCCCTAGGTGATGTGGCAGTGAACAAACTATTACTTGCAAAACTGAAATTTGAATTTTTTCGTCGGGTTCAAGGTGTGAATCGGATTTTTTTAGTTTAAAAGGCAAATTGAGTATTCCGGTCATGTACAAAGGCCTATTTATTCTTTAGCAACAAAGAAAATATAAATGTTGAATAGTAAATGAAATATAACACCTCTTTGAGAATTAGTTGTGATGTTATGATAGCTTATAAAACTATTTTCTCCATAAAATCTTCATAGCGAATACTCTGTATATATTATTGCAAACTAATTTAAAGTATTTTAAATATACTGAAATTGCATTAACTTAATTTAAAAATATAGAAGTGCATTGGTAAAGTAAAATCAATTTTTTCGGGGATATGTAAAAGAATTATTTGCACTAAAATTGAATCCCATGCACTGATGCACACATGTACGAATGTTTATGAACGATGAGTATAACTAATATGAGTTCTTCTGTCCCAAATAACTTTCAGATTTGACTTACATGTTCTCATACTCTTATAAGATAAAATTTTGTTCTCAATTTTTAATAGTGATATTTAGTATTGAAAAATTCTTTTAATGAGAATTAGAATTTTCAAATTTATTTTGGGACATCAAAATAAAAAAGTGAAACATTAGTTTTGAGAGGAAACTAATATGCAAATATGAAGTGTTGACCCCATATAACACTTCTAAGTTCTATCCCCCCTTATACTATAGTTCTAGACTTCTAGTTCTAGAGGTGAAAGAACTTCACATAGTTTTTATGATGACCATACTAAAATCTAAGAGAAAGGCCTTAAATTAGTAAATTTTGTTGGGTATCATTAATTTCCACTGCTATTATTATCATTATTATTCATTAATATTAGCGTCATTATCATTAATATCATTATTAAAAAATATTTCTAAAGTTCTTATATAGTGACACCATAGTGGGGTGAAGTATCTAACATTATATCATTTTGAAGCAAATATAGTCAAAGTCGTGATGGCACCGCAGGTGTATCATTATTAGTTAACCCAAAGGCACTGCAAACCTCAGGAAGCAACGCTTTCCTCAACTCAGCATATATCATGCCATTCCACTTCCTCTTCGACAGCGACTCCGCCAAAAGAACCGCTGCCTTCACGGTCTCCTCTGCATTAGCGTGCGCCGAGCCAATCAGCCCCAACCCAAGCGCCTCCTCAGCCCTCAGCTTGGATGCTCTCAGCACTACCGTTCGCCTGGCAGAGTGCCACCCCACCTTCGATCTGATGACCGTTGAGAAGTATTCTGGCAAGGGTAGCCCGAGGTTCAGCTCACTCATGTACAATACGCCTCTGTCAGATCTCATGGCAACGTTGTCGTGGCAAATGGCCAGAATCAGCCCAGCGCCGGCAGCGTGCCCGGTGATGGCAGCGATGGTTGGCATGGGGAGAGAGATCAGCTCAGCCACAACTGGCTTGAAAGTCTCTACCATGTCAATTATCCGATACATTGCGGCTTCCGGCGTGCAAGCAGCCTCAGCGTATTTCAAGTCGAAGCCATTGGAGAAATAATTTCCCTCTGCCTTGGTGATTAGAACCGAACCCCTTTCCGCTTCGGACTTGATTTTGGTAAGCGCTGTGCCAATGGATGAGATAAGGGTGGGATTCAGTCTGTGCTCATCGATGCCGGTTAGGGTAAGATAGAAAATGTCCCCCTTTTTCTCTAAAGTGCACATGGCGTGAGTGATACCAAATGTTTCCTCCTAGAGCGAGGAGTTGTGTCTTGGACGGAGATGATACTTATAGTGAACAAAGGACCAAAATCCTTGGTCATTCAATATACACTTGAGTGAGTATTTATATACACACGTAAGATAGACCTCTTCACAATCAACATAGATATACTACTCCGTCCCTAAATAAAAGCATCTGTTTCCTTTTCGATCCGTCCATAAATAAAAGTTTCCTTTCCTTTTTTGGCAAACAAAACAGTGCAAAACAGTGCCAAACAGATCCAAACAGTACCAACTAAACCCACTTTCTTAAAATGTGTGGAAAACGAATGGATACTTTTATATGGGGACGGAGGGAGTAATATCTATGTTCATTAGATAACATTTTAAATGTACCCCATCTGTCCCCGAAAATTCTTCTCACTTACTTTTTTGGGATGTCCCAAAAAATTCTTCACATTTCTCCTTTTGGAAAGTATTGTGTGGCTAAGAATGTTTTTACTTGGACTGTAATTCGTCCCAGACCAGACCAGACTTGGATAGTTATAAAAATACAAAGAAACCAGACCAGACCAATTCAGACCAGACCAAACCAGACCAGCAAATTACAGTCTAAGTAAAAACATCCTAACACTCAATTAACTTTTTCTTACTCAAACACAATCATACATTTCCATTTTATTTCCACTTTCTTAAACTCCGATCCAAACCAACATGAAAAGAATTTTCTGGGATAGAGGGAGTACATCTTTATAAATTATATGAAAACGTCTACTCAAACGTAAAAACTGAATTCAATTATGATAAAAATTTGAGCTCGACCTTTATTAACAAAAGGTAATTGTGTTGACAGAAGAAATGTTTCTTGATCAAATAGTTAAATAGACAAAGTTTATTAAAATGGAGGAAATATTAAGGGAATAAAGAGTTCCTTTACTGTTGAAAGGGAGGGATTCTCTCATCTTTTAAAAATAAAAATAAGAGAACCTACAGCACTTATCACGACAACATATTCACTGTATTTTTCCTAAAAATGAATCTGCAACCACCTCTGTGTTTTGTATAGCTCAAAAAATACAGTGAATAATCTTGATTAACTACTTCCGTACAAGATTACAAAATAAATAACACACCGAAACTTCCGTCAAGCCCTGGCCATCCACCATTGCGCCGACCCTCACCACCGCCATCGCCACCGCCACCGCCACCTCACATATATCTCGGTACCTCTACTAGAGTATCCTCATCTTAGAATCGTATTATCATCCTATAATATAAACACACAATGTGTCATCATTGTTCATTATATATACAAAATGAAAACTATAGTGCTGATTCTGCTGAACGGACATGTCAATGAAACTTGAATATGCTACCGTTGTAGTCCTAATAACTCAATTCTTTGGCTCATTAGATCTCTGTCTACCATTTTTTATCAAGCAGTTTTTGCAATCAAAACAAATAAAGATAAAGTCAAGTACTTTTCCGATTGAATAAGCTCAAAGATAACAATTTTAAGTTTTCCAAATAGATGTTTCACTTGTTTCTCGATATATTTAAGTTTTTTAAACAAATGTCAATTCGATACCTTCAAGCTACCTTACTTTGTCTAGTAAACCAATTAGAATATTATACTCTCTCCCTTAAAATTTTGCCAGTTTTTGATACTTTGGTCAATGAAGTTAAGCTTTGACAGATTAGATATTTTAGTAGGAGATTATTTTACTTAGAAATCGTTGACTAAAGTATATCCTCATTGATTTGAAAACTCGAAGTTTTAAGGGAAGAGGCGATGGAGGGAGTAATTGTTTAAGTATGAATAAAAATGATGAAATAATGACTTCAGCCAACCAAATGTATTTTGGATCAATTATTGTACTACGTAGCACTTGTAACAAATTTAAGCCGAGTATAACAATTCTTCCATCTTGTCCAATCCAGTTGTCTAGATCCATCAAGTTAGCAGTGTTTTCTTTTGCGAGGACAGTATTATTTACGTTTTGGGATTAACAATAATTTATGGAAAGAAAATATGGAGTACAGCATAGTCAAAATCAAGCAAAATCATGAAAAATAGGATAACATTCCATCACATAGGGCCTCGATCAAACAATTAACCGGGAGGATGTAAATGAGACATTAATCACAAGTTGGGCCATAGTTCTAGCCTTAATAGCAAATTCTAATCCAACACTTTATCAAGTAGTTGAGCCCACCAGCATCAAAATCATGAAAAAGCAACAATAGAAGGCAAAATAACTTTTAGGTAAAGAAAAAAAAAACACCAAAAGATGCAACTTTTAGGTAAAGAAGATTGTACATCATAGATATGGAATAGATGATTCACGATCCTGATTGGTAGGACCGAATAGGGTTTATAAACACCAAAAGATGCAACAAAACCCAACATCTTGCTGATCGGGTTTCAGTCAAAAAATATATTTTTCTTGTTAGGTTATGTGTAGTCAATCATTTTAACCAAAATAACCACAAAACACATAAAAAGGTCAAATAAACCCTTATAACCTCTTGTTAGGTTATGTGTAGTCAAAGTAACCGTTTGTTAATGTTAACGTTGGCTGAATTGGTTGATTAAATTTATGAAATTCTGGCCGAAGTGGCTGTATTGCCTGATTCTGCTAATTCATGAAAAAATTATATTTAAAAGATTTGTTATCAATAAATTAAAGGGAAAAGGGTCAAATAGGCCCCCGGACTTACATAAAAAGGTCAAATAAACCCTTATATAGGAGGCTGTGTCCGGACATCGCCATTTGGGGCGGTTCCGGGTGGAATTTTTTGATGAAAGTTTGTGAGCATCTTATTCATTAAGTCTGGTTTAATCATACCAAATTCCAGCTAAAACCTCAATCAGGAAGGCATTCAAATGAATTCTTGAAGATAACTGCGCACTTAAAAGCGCAATTATCTTCAAGAATTCATTTAAATGCCTTTCCGATTGAATTGTTAGCTGAAATTTGGTATGAGTAAACTAGACTTAATGAATAAGATGCTAAAAAAATTCATTAAAAATAGCTAAAATGACCATATAAAGTAACTTCGGCCAAAACAGAAAAGTGAATCTAACCTTACTTTTTCTGCACCAAATCAAAAATTACGCACTTGACGAAAAAGCTGACTAATAAGTCTGATATGCCGAAAAAAAGGATCACCAACCAAACGGAATCTTAATCAACCACTTCAACTATCAAATTTTGAAAAAATTAAAGAGATACATACAATTTTGGTGAATGCTAAATTCATGTATATGAAGATCGAAGAGAGTGTAAGTAGGAAAAAGGAGGGTACCAGTGTTTGGTGTGATGTATTTGATGTTTGCATCTTTTTTATGCAAAGGTATTCAAAGTCGTGAAGGCAAGGGTGCTGTAACAGGCAACCCAAACACACCGCAAGCCTCGGGAAGCAACGCTCTCCGCAGCTCAGCATAGATCTTACCGTCCCACCGCCTCTTCGCCAGCGCTTCCGCTGTGCGCACCGCCTCCTTCACCGTCTCCTCCGCGCCGGCGTGCGCCGAGTCGATCAGCCCCAACTTAAGCGCCTCCGCCGCCCTCATCTTCGACGCTTTCAATACCAACGCCCGCCTGGCCGCGTGCGACCCCACCTTCGACCTGATAATCGCCGTGAAGTACTCCGGCAAGGGGAGTCCGATGTCCAGCTCGCTCATGTACAGCACGCCTTTGTCAGATCTCATCATAACGTAGTCGTGGCAGATGGCCAGCATCAGTCCCGCGGCGGCGGCGTGTCCGGTGACGGCGGCGATGGTTGGCATGGGGAGCGAGATCAGATCCGATGCGACTGGCTTGAACAAGGCCACCATGTGCTGTAGCCGATCCATTGCGGCTGCCGGCGAGCCTGCAGCCTGGGCGTATTTCAAGTCGAAGCCATTTGAGAAGAAATTGCCCTCTGCTTTTGTGACCAGAACGGAACCCTTATCGGCTTGGGACTTGATTTCGGCTAGCGCCGCGCTGATGGAGGAGATTAGAGACGGGTTCAGCCGGTGCTCGTCGACGCCGGTCAGCGTAAGATAGAAAACATCGCCCCGTTTCTCTAAAGTGCACATGGTGTAAATGTTTCCTTTTTGGTATGTGATTAGGAAAATTATGAGGAATGAGTGTTATCCGAAATATTATAATCTCAATAAAACCTTCTCACATTAAGGGCCTGTTTGATGACAGCTGCACTGGCTGGAATGGCTGAAAAGTCTGAAAAGACTTAAATTGCTGAAGTGAAAGTGTTTGGTATTATACCGTGCAACCGACGAAACATGAGGATGGTGCGCCCGGTTGACGCAACTTCCATTTTTTTTTGCTTTTGTTATTTAAAAATGATGATAACTTTCTTATTTTTGATCCGATTTTTATAAAATTTATATCAACATTTTTTATTTTTCATGATCTTTCAAATGAGACCAATATTGCTTATGTAATGTTAAGAAATTATCGAACTATTATATTAATGAGTATTGGATTATAAGAAAAATCGAATCTGTTTGGGAGATGATAGGTTTGTGAAATAGAAGATTGAATCTGTTTGAGAGTGGATCAGTGGCCTCAGTTACATTTGATAATAAATTGAGTTACATCTTTTTATGAACGAGTTACATCTTTTTATAAGCAAGTTACATCTTTTTAAAAGTGAGTTACATATATATAAACACGAGTTGCATTTGACATGCCTGAACGTGACTTACATATATTTACATGTAAAGTTACATATTTTTACACGTAAAGTTACATATTTATACACGCGAGTTACATATTTATACACACGAGTTGCATTTGACCTGTGTGAACGCGAGTTACATATTTTTTTTACGTAATGTTACATATTGTTACACGTAGAGATACATATTTATACACACGAGTTGCATTTGGCCTGACTGAACGTGAGTTACATATTTTAACACGTAAAGTTACATATTTTACACGCAAATGTTAATATGTTAAAATTACATAGGCAATATTGGTCTCATTTGAAAGATCATGAAAAATAAAAAATATTGATATAAATTTTATAAAAATCGGATCAAAAAGAAAAAAGTTATTACCATTTTTTAAAAACAAA